TTGGGTTCTACAATCTTTTGTGGCTTTCGTAGTCTCTGTTACTATGTAGGTTCACATCAGTTGGTATCAAAGTATCGGCTCCAAATTAATCAAGGTTTTATCTTTTAATTTCACTGTTGAGTCCTTATTTTCTAGTATTTTTCACGTACATTGTGTTCTTTGCACTCTTCATTAATTTTGAGTCTCTGATCCATAAATTTTTTGTAATTTTCAAAAGTTGTTTTTGAGCTAGCATCCAAGTCAACTTCTTTTGTTTTGTCGGTATCTTAGTCAAGTTTTCTATATAAAAAAAAAAGTGTCAAAATATTAAAAAAAAAAAAAAAGAAAAAAAGAGAGAAGGTGTGGAAAAAAAGGATTTGCTATTGTTATTATCTTTTCCAACAATTCTTCTTTGTCATTTTTTTAGTCATTTATTTCCTTCCAATTAATTCAAAGTGTCGTTTCAATCAATTCTTGGGTTTCGTTAGCTCCAGTCGAGTTTTCAATTCCGATTGTACGAATTCCTCTTAAATTCACTATTCTTAATTATGCCTAGATTAGAATCCATGAGGCTAATTCCTATAATTTCAATTTATTCTTTGAAGCACTTGGATGAAAGCATTGAGTGGGAAAAGGTAGAGTGGTGAGATCAATAGAGGGTAAAAGCCAAATATTATGTGATACACAAGTGAAAATTACAGTGAGGCAGAAATATCTTAGAAATGGGATGTCAGACAAAGCAGGATCAAATTCAAGCAGGATCGATGTTCACGAAATTATTTCCTTTCGATTTAAAACTACCGCAAGTATACAGTTCGTTAATAAGTAATAAAGTGAAATATTAAGTTTTGAATATCGTTCCACAGAGATCGAGTAATTCAATTTTGTCTACCTTAGCCTTAATCGAAATGAAGTTGTCAAAACAGGAATTTATTCTTAGAAAAACCCTAATTTCGCTAAATGATTTGATTATGCAAACAATGTGTTCAAATGAAATTAATCACAAAATGATGATTGGAATAAAAAAATCGATTGTATTCAATAAAATTAGAAAACACTAGGATCACAAATTCTTATGTAATAATCACTTGAAACCCCAATTTTACAATCTGACAACACCATCTGATTATTGCTGACTCAATGCTCCTAAGTCTATCAAACACACTCTCTTGAACAATATTGAACTTATTCTTATATACCACCAGCCTATATTTCGATGACAGATGCATAGACATAAAAATGCATAGGGTTTTATGAGCAATTAAAGAATCACGCAAAGCATACAAGTATATTTCTATCCCGTATCGGACCCTACGATGATCTATACCTTGTCACATCTATTTCCCTTCTCTCGAATGTAAGAAATAAATCATTACACATCACATAATTGCGCGCACTCAATCATGGAAAAAATTAATGTATATAAATCATTCAAATAATCAAATATGCGGTCAATTTATCAAATTGCAAGAATTTAAATTCCAAAAATCATATTACACAGTTCATCAATCTCCTAGCATGAGAAAACTTAGCCTAACATTGAAAATTTAAAGAAATACATGAATTCTTGAAAATAGAACATCACCAAATATTGAGATTTGATGAAATCTTGATGTTTTTCGTGAAATCTCTCGTTGGTCTCCCTCAATTTGATCTCCAAGAAGTGTTTTGTTATCCTTCAATGTGTTCTTCTTCATTCTGGATGATTTCTGGTATTTATATTGTGTTTAGATTATGTTTCTATAAGAATTTCATCGCGAAAGGGAAACTGTAGATCGACATTCGAACTTTGCCCATGCGACCGCATAGGCTTAAAATCTTTGGCCAAAAATTTTCCTGCATCACTCTATACGACCGCATAGGTATACCCTATGCGACCGCATAGGGTGAACTTTTCAATTTATGCCATTTTGGTCCTCGAACTTTATTTTTTTCACTTCTTGACCTCTTTTCTTGTTTCTGGTCATTCTATCACTCAATTTTAGCCCCCAACTTGTATTCTGCTCAATAAATTTCTTGATTCCTTCATCGGGTCAACTTTTAGATAATTTCACTTTGGCCCTTGAACTTTTACTTTGCTTTATTTTAGTCCTTTTTTTTGCGTCTTTTCCCTCGAATTTCGCCAAGTCCATCAATGTTCCCTATAATTTACAAATGAAATGAAATTAATCCACAATTCAATCATTTTGCTGGTGATTAAGTCATGTTTGTGATCTAAATAAGTGTGTAAAAACACACTTATCAAACCCCGTAAAACTTGAACTATTGTTTGTCCTCAAACAAGATAGTGGCTAACTTCTGAACAAACATGGCTTAATAACCTGCTGTGGCTCAGGATTGGACTAAGTATTTAACTTTATGAAAAACGGATTAGTGTGAGAATGGAATAAACCTTTACCGGTTAAATGCACACTTGACGTGTGTGTGTGAAGTCATGCCAACATGTCAAGGTCATGATGGATTGAGTCCCAACCCCAAGTGTTCAAATGTGTCCTTACTTCACTCGAGAGATATACCACCCCCCCAAACTTGTTCTTTTCACTCAATTATCCCGGGGTGGTATTTTACAGTTAGGAGTTTATGTAGCTGTAGTCCTTACCTTCTCTTAGTCTGGATTAATCTCACTATCACAAAGTCGCATGCCAACAAGTAAAGATTCTCCTAGGTTTGCTTGCTTCGACACTCAAGATTAAACTAGGCTACTTGCCTCGCCTCAAAGGTGTAATTTCTTCAATCAAATGTCCAAGGGCTTTCTTATCTTTTTTTTTTGTGCCATTTTCTCATTTGCTTTTTATATAGCCCCTGTAACGAGCTTTAGGCTGATGATTCCTGATAAGTATATTTTTACACACTGATTTGGTTAACAAACATGACTTAAACATGGATAAAATGGTTGAATTGTGACTTAATCTAGTTAAATTCATGCATTGTAGGCAATTCAATGAAAAATGTGGAATTCAGGAGAAAAGAGCCGAAGAAGGACCAAAACGCAACAAATTGATAGTTCGAGGACCAAAGGTGCAAATATTGAGAAGTTGAGCTAAATGCAAAACGAGAGTAAAAACATGTCGAGTATGAGCTCAAGGACAAAGCAAAACAAGTGGAGGAAGAAAGAATCGAAGAGGGACTGAAATGAAGACAGTTAAAAGTTGGAGGACTAAAGCGCAAATACTCAAAAGATGAGCCGAATGAGTGGCAAGAGATTCGATGGTGTCAATCATCAATTGGAGGATAAAATTTGTTGAAAAGATGAAGAAATTGAAGAAAGAAGTCAAGAGAAGCAATAAGGAAAGTTCAGGGACCAAAATGTAAAGACTTCAGAGTTGGTTAGTCTATGCGACTGCATAGTGTAACCATCTATGCGGTCGCATAGATGGTTGTAGGAAATTTTGGGGAAAAATTTATTGGTCTATGCGACCGCATAGAAACCTTCTATGCGGTCGCATAGTGATATTTCGGGGGCCTCCGTTGCAGTTTTTTATTTTCGTTGAAACTCTTTTCCTACTTGATTTTGACGCAATATAAATACCCAAAATCATCAAATTGAAGGGAGGAACGACTAGGGAGAAGAAATACACTCAATTTGAAGGCAAGAAACACAATCTTGGGCTTGATTTCACAATGATTCAAGAAGGAATTGAAGATTACACACAAAATTGAAGGATTATCATACGGGCGTATTCTTTATATCTTTTAATTTCATTTTAATTCTTGATTCTATAATTATGATGATAGGCTAGGGTTTTTATTCATTAGGAAATCGATGAACCTTTGATTATTTAATCTCCTTTATTTCATAAATTCAATATAAAGTTTCGGTTGGACAATTGTTTGATTTATATGATTTGATTGCTTCCATAATTATTGGCCATATGTTATGTGAGTTTAGATGATTTATTCTTTGCATTCGAAAGAAGGGGAATAGATTCGATATAATATAAATTAACATAGGGTTCGATAGAGGATAGAAATATACCCCTATACTTTGTGCAATTCATAAGGTGTTCATAAAAATTCAGGCATTCTTGTATATTTGCATCATCCATAGAAATATAGGCTGGTGGTGTGCAAGAGTAGATTCAATATATATCGAGAGAGTATATTGGATAGGTTTAGGAACATTGAATTGGCATTTTTCCATCGATTCGTTAAATTTGTGAAATTAGAGTTTTTAATAGTCAATTGGGGATTCGAGATCCTAATGATTGCATTTCAATTTATTTCTATACATTAACTTCCAAAATTGCGTATTTACATTTTAATTGAGTTTTTGAGTCATTCAATTAGTGAAATTTCGAAATTAGGGCTTCCAATTTCGAAATTAGGGTTTTCGTTAAAAATTAGGGTTTCAAATTGGGGATTTCTCCCACAATTAGGGGTTTTCAAATTTAAACCAAATTTTCATTCAATTAGATTCGGTTAAGGTCACATTAGTCTAATTAGAGCTAATTCATTCCTCGTGGGAATGATACTTGGACTCATAGTCCATTTTACTACTTGTTAACGAACCATACACTTGCGGTGGGTTTTAAAATTGAAAGAAATATTCTGTGAACAAGTTTTTGGCGCCATTGCCGGGGATTGAATTTTAGTTTTAATTCTATCTTTTGCGACACTAATTCGAACTTATTTAGTTTAGTACTTGTTAATTTTATTAGATTTATTTTATTATTGTTTATATTGAATTTTTGTGTTAATTCTGCCATATCAGGGCTTGTATGCAAGGAGCACCTGATCAAGACTTGGTCCCTGTAGATCCAGAGATCGAACGCACATTCTGTCATAGGCAAAGGGAAGCAAGAGTGGTACAACAAATGGCTAACGAGCAAAATCGACCGGGAATTCCACTCAACGAAGGTTTGGCAGTGGAAGAGGATGGAAATACGGTACTTGGGGATTTCATGGCACCATTGGTGGTGCAAAGTCAATCTAGTATTGTATATCCTCCATTTGGGCAACCGAACTTCCAACTGAAGACAAACGTGATTCAACTGTTTCAGAATGGGCATCAATACCATGGGATGGCTAGTGAGAATCCGCATACACATATATCTAGATTTCTTGATATGTGTCAACACTTTAGATACCAAGGTATCTCCGATGATGCTATAAGACTGCGCTTGTTCCCGCACACCTTGAGGGATAAAGCACTTGAATGGCTGGATTCACTCCCTGTCGGAAGCATCACTACTTGGAACGAGGTAGCTCATAAATTCTGCACCAAGTTCTTCTCGCCAGCTAAAGTAGCTAAAATACGGCATGACATCTCAATATTCAACCAGATCGAGTCAGAATCATTTGAAGAGGCATGGAACCATTTCAAGAACATGTTAAGGAAGTGCCCGCAACATGGCTTTGACAAGAAGACCCATATCAGATTTTTCTACACTGGATTACTCCCATCATTCAAGAGTATGGTGGATGTATCATCTGACGGGTCTATCTCTACAAGAACAATTGACGGAGCCTAGGAGCTATTTGAGAGGATGGCTACAACTTCAGCTATGTGGTCTACAGATCAAGTAGTTCAGAAGAGAGTACCTGGGGTGTATGAAGTAGATACTTACTCAGCACTGTCGACGAAAATAGATTCCTTATTCTATAAGGTTGAAAGCATTTCACAAACCGCCACTACTAAGCAAGTTATGAAGCAGAGTTGTGAAAAATGTGGAGCAGATCACAGTACTGCTACTTGCCCAATTCTAGCACAAGGAGTAGAACATGCAGAATTCGCACAATGGGGTCAACGCCAGCAGAATAACCCACATTCAGAAACCTTCAATCCAGGCTGGAGAAAACAACCAAATTTCTCGTGGGCTAATCAGAATTAAAACAGACCACAAGGGCAATATCAGCAACAAGACAAAAAGCCACCATTGGAGGATATGTTCGAGAAATTTATGGCACAAACCAATCAGTACATGGAAGCCAATAACCAATTTATGTGAAGGACGGAAACAACGCTTTAAGATCAAAGTGCAGCGATCAAGAACTTGGAGACACAAGTGGGATAGATGGCAATTTCCATGACGGGTAGAGCACCGGGAAACCTACCCAGCAATACTGAAATTAACCCTAAGGAACATGCAAAGGCTATAACAACCAGAAGTGGAGTACAACTGCTGAAACCACATGTAAAAAGTTCGGGAGCCAACAAGGAATCAACGCCAACCTTGGAGGAAGAAATTGTGGAGCAAACTGACAATGCAACAGGAGATGAGGTTAAGAGGAATTCCAAGACATCACAGGGTAAAAATACTAATCCTGTTAACCCTCATGAGCCTCCTATTCTGTTTCCAAAAAGGTTGAGAAAGCATAAAATGGATCAGCAATACAGTAAGTTCCTTGAAGTCTTCAAGAAACTGTACATCAACATCCCATTTGCTGAAGCACTTGTCCAGATGCCGAGCTATGCAAAATTCCTGAAGGATATCCTCTCCAACAAGCGAAAGATAGAAGAACACGAAATAGTAATGTTGACTGAGGAATGCAGTGCCAGAATCCAGAGAAAGCTACCTCCAAAACTGAAAGATCCAGGGAGTTTTACTGTACCCTGCACTATTGGAGACTGTCATTTTGATAAAGCTTTGTGTGATTTGGGTGCAAGTATTGATCTAATGCCTCTTTCTGTTTTCAGGAAACTCGGCTTGGGAGAAGCAAAAGCCACAACAGTAATATTGCATTTAGCAGATAGATCCCTTACACATCCAAGAGGAATCATTGAAGACGTGCTGGTAAAAGTGGAGAAGTTCATATTTCCAGCCGATTTTCTTATCTTGGACATGGAAGAAGATAAGGATGTTCCACTCATTTTGGGGCAACCTTTCTTAGCCACTCGGAGAGCGATTGCAGATGTTCAACGTGTTCAAAGTAATGAAATTCCCCACTGAGTCAGACAGTTGTTTCCAGATCGATGTAGTCGACCGAACAGTTCAAGACACATTTCGGCTACATCATCTTTCCGATGCATACGAGGCATGCATTGCACATTCACAATCCACCCATTCTGATTCAAGTGAGATTGAGACATGTGCTTGATTTTTGGAGAGTAACCAGCCATATATGCGCAAACCCTACTATGAAGAGCTGGGAACTAGGACTGCAAAATCAGTGCCATCTATTGTGAAACCTCCCAAATTGGAACTCAAACAACTGCCACCACATCTTCAATATGCGTACCTGGGGAAATCTTCTACACTACCGGTTATTATATCAAGCACTGTCAGTGAGGTAGAGGAAGAGAAATTACTTCGGGTGCTAAGGGAGAATAAAACAGCCATTGGATGGTCAATTGCAGATATCAAAGGGATCAGCTCGTCTATATGCATGCATAAGATACTCATGGAGGAAAAATTCAAACCAAGCATTGATGGGCAGCGGAGATTGAATCCACACGTGAAGGAAGTGGTTAGAGCTGAGGTATTGAAGTTGCTCGATGCAGGCATTATTTATCCAATATCAGATAGTGCATGGATCAGTGTGGTGTAAGTTGTCCCCAAGAAAGGAGGAATCACGGTGATAGAAAATGAGAAAAATGAGTTGATTCCTACACGGACAGTGACTAGATGGAGAGTTTGCATTGACTACCATAAACTTAACACAGCTACTCGAAAGGATCACTTTTCATTACCGTTCATTGATCAGATGTTGGAGAGATTAGCGGAACATTCACATTACTGTTTTCTAGATGGGTACTCCGGGTATAATCAGATTCCAGTGGCACCAGACGATCAGAAAAAGACCACTTTCACTTGCCCCTATGGCACCTTTGCATACAGAAGGATGCCATTTGGATTATGCAATGCTCCCGCTACCTTTCAGCGCTGCATGATGGCTATTTTCTCAAACATGATTGAGAAATTCATCGAGGTATTCATGGATGACTTCTCTATGTTTGGATCTTCATTTGATGAGTGCTTAGAGCATCTAAGTCTTGTGCTACAACGGTGTACGGAGACCAACGTGGTGGTGAATTGGGAGAAATGTCACTTTATGGTACAAGAAGGCATCATACTAGGGCATCGAATCTCGGCGAAGGGCATTGAAGTGGATAGAGCAAAGATTCAAGTAATCGAGAAACTACCTCCACCTACATCAGTAAAAGGTGTTCGTAGTTTTCTTGGTCATGCAGGGTTCTATAGAAGATTCATCAAGGATTTCTCAAAAATTACCAAACCTCTGTGCTGTTTATTGATGAAGGAATCCACATTTGAGTTTACTGATGAGTGTCTGCAGGCCTTTAACACTTTGAAAGAGAAGTTGACTTCAGCACCTATAATTATCACACCGGATTGGAATCTGCCATTTGAATTAATGTGTGATGCCAGTGATTATGCTGTGGGACCCGTGTTGGGTCAACGAAGGAATAAGGTATTTCACGTGATCTATTATGCAAGTAAGACTTTGAACGATGCTCAGTTAAATTATGCCACTATGGAGAAAGAGCTTCTTGCTGTAGTCTATGCATTTGACAAATTTCGATCATACCTTGTGGGGTCGAAGGTCATAGTCTACACAGATCATGCCGCTATCAAGTATTTAATGGAAAAGAAGGATGCTAAGCCATGTCTCATTCGTTGAATATTACTACTTCAAGAGTTTGACTTGGAAATTAAGGATAAGAAAGGCAGTGAAAACGTGGTGGCAGACCACCTATTTCGGCTTGAGGACACAGAACGAACAGAGACAGTGGAAATAAACGAAATCTTCCCAGACGAATAGATTTTTGGTGTGATGGAAACACCCTGGTATGCAGATATAGTTAACTATTTAGCCAGGTCTATCATACCGCCAGATTATTCAAGTCACCAGAAGAAGAAATTCTTCGCTGAATTGAAGTATTATTTTTGGGAAGATCCCATTCTCTACAGGCGGGGGGCTGATCAAATTGTTCGTTGCTGTGTACCAGAGGAAGATGTACCTTTGATAATAGGAAACTGTCACTCATCTATATATGCAGGGCATTTTGGTGCTTCGAAAACAGCTGCGAAGATTCTTCAATCATGTTTTTACTGGCCTACACTCTTTAAAGATGCTTTTGAATTTGTGAAAAGGTGTGACCGATGTCAGCACACGGGTAACATATCTAGAAGAAATGAGATGCCTTTGAATAGTATCTTAGAGGTGGAATTATTCGACGTCTAGGGGATCGACTTCATGGGACCATTTCCACCATCTTTTTCAAATCAATACATATTAGTGGCTGTGGATTATGTATCGAAGTAGGTCAAGGCTATTGCACTACCTACTAATGATGGAAAAGTGGTGATTGAGTTTTTAAAGAAGAACATTTTTACCCGGTTTGGAACACCAAGAGCCATAATCAATGACAGGGGCACACATTTCTGCAATCGTCAGTTCGAGCAGTTGTTAGCGAAATATGGCGTTAAGCATCGTATAGCCACCGCATACCATCCCCAAACCAGCGGACAAGTCGAAGTATCCAATAGGCAATTGAAGCGAATACTCGAAGTCATAGTCAACTCATCACGAAAGGATTGGTCAAAGAAACTGGATGATGCCTTGTGGGCCTACAGGACTGCATTCAAGACCCCTATAGGAATGTCAACATATCGACTGGTTTTTGGGAAAGCATGTCACCTACCTCTTGAGATCGAACATCATGCCTACTGGGCAATGAAGAAGTTGAACTTGGATTTGAAGGCTGCGGGTGAAAAACGGCTGTTACAACTGAATGAACTGGATGAGCTCAGAATGGAAGTCTATGAGAACTCAAAGATCTACAAAGAGCGCACCAAGAAATGGCATGACATGCATATCCAGAGGCGTCACTTTAAGGTGGGGCAAAAAGTGCTACTCTACAATTCCAGGCTTAAACTGTTTCCAGGAAAATTGAGATCGAGATGGTCTGGTCCATATACCATTACACAAGTGTTTCCACATGGAGCGGTTGAGATCACTCACGACAGCAAGGGGACATTCAACGTTAATGGACAGCGTTTGAAGCACTATTGGGACGGTGATTTCTCAAAGGACAAGTCTACCGTCCATCTTGGATCGCCAGAATAATGCAATACGGTAAAGTTGAGCTATCGACTATAACCTAGCGCTGAGTGGGAGGCAACCCACTGTATCCTTAAATTTATTTTATTGCATTGCATTAGTTTAGGAATTTGTTTGAGTTTAGTTTGTTTCATAGGTCATCGATCATATTTTGCATGATAGCCTAGGCACTACACGTTTAATGTTGCATGAATGGGTGCTAAATGAAGTGTTTGGGTGTTCGAGTGTGTGTCACGTATTCCGATGTGCAAAGATGTTCATTTTGGTTAAGCTTTCAGAATGCGGGACAACATTTATGAAAAATCGGTTTTGGTGCCAAGTTTTCGATAAGCATATTCCTCTTTTCAAGTCAAATTTTTCAATTTTTTTGGAATATAGGCGAGGCAAGTCAAAATTTTTAAGTGAAAAACTGATCTCGGGGTAGTTTAAATTTTCAGTCATGGATTGATTTAAAAAAATAAAATAAAAATAAGACACCCGGTTTGGTCTATGCGATCGCATAGACCGCATCCGAAAGCAAACCGGGGAAAATAGTTTGCACTATGCGATCGCATAGTGCAACACTATGCGGTTGCATAGTGTAGTGGTCACGGGTTTTAACCCGTGACCACACAATTAAACCCCAAGTTCCCCCCCCCCCCTCTCACTCACACTCGAGACCAATCTCCCACTTCACCCATTCACTTGCACACACTTCACACTTGCACACTACTCACTTCACCCTCACACTTCATACTTGCACACACTCATCACACAAGTGCTTGGATATTCATCTTTAGTGAAACAAATCAAGATTCCAACTTGTCAA